ACAATGCTGCACTGGCCACTTCTGGCGTTATTATCAATATTCAGGAAATTATCCACATAACTGTACTTTGACTCATACAAATAAAGTCAGTCCTTACTCATCCATCAGTACTTGGGTCGAAATCTACCTAGTCGTACCTTTCATATTACCCATCCATTAATACTCAGATATATAACCATACAGGGTTGTTGTGAGCCAGCAGCTTATTCCAGAAATCACAGGGGGCCCCCTGGACAGCGCCAGTCCATCACAAGGTCAGTCTTTAGCCTGATGTGCAAAATCACATCAAAGTATCATTATTGTTATGAAGTCAGAAGTATCTATACTGTCCTTTGCAGCTGTAATACCCACGGGAGATGAAATTAAAAGATTGATGGTCATGGTATAGTACAAGAAAACAGTGAGAAATAGAATTATGATTATAGTCCTTTTCAATAATTAAAAATATAACAGTAAAAAAAAAAAATCACCCAGAATAACAGGACCATGGTATCATGTTCGTTTCTTGCCGTGTTCAGAACGAAGCGAACAGGGCTGCATTTAAAACGTCATGCCACACCTCAGACTCAGTTTATATGAGTTATTTAATAACAGTAAGCTTTGTGTTATCAATAAATTCACCACATACTGTGGAGGAGTATCCCTTGCCTGTATTTACTTAATGCTTGTTTAAACATGCAAAAAAAAAAAAAAAAAAAAAACACCAAGAACATTTAGTTCCAAGAAGAACTTACATTGGACTCCCAAAGTTAAGGCTTCAGAAGGTTTGGCGCGGAGGACGAACGCAACAGCCGCACAGACCAAGAGGCTACGAGTGTTTCTGTGAATCTACGCCGGAGGGTGACAGATAATCGGATGCTGCTTGTGGGTCCGGTGGCTACAGGTCGCTAATCAGTTAGCAGCATCGCTAGGCCATCAGAGGAGCCACGGACAAGTGGGTCTCTGGAGAGTCTGAGGGGGAGAGATTGAAGGCCAAGCAGACGGTGTGGCACAGAGATAGCAGCTATCACCCGTAAACAAAGCAGACAGGCGCTCACGTGTCGGTGTGTGAGGGCCAGAGCTCCCAGTGAAATGAAACTTATTTGGGGTTTTTTTCCGTTCAAATTTCCAATATCATTTTGTCTGTACCACTAAAAAATGTTTTTATGTGACACATGGAATTCAGTAAAAAATAAACTGACAAACCCGCTTTGTTATTAATTATATATTTGACAGTGTCACTAAATTGATTTTCCAAACGGCAGACCTATTCAGTGTTTACCTCATTTTGCTAAAAATAAAAATATACAACGGTTAAATTAATGAACTGCCAGACAAAGGAAGACAACAAAGGTTGAGACAAGCAGTCAATCCCTCAGCAGAATATCCACTGCGTGCTCTAACTGTTTAGAGGAAAACTGGGTCCGTGCTTTGCTTAGAAGTGTATTTTAGGAACAGTGGAATTACATCGTTTTATGTTTGTGGGTTAGGATACTGCAGGGCCCAAAAAGGTTCGAGAAGCTGTCATGTCACTGCACTCAGAACGTGCACAGAAGACAGGCCTCATTTCAGCATGGAAGAGTGCCACTGGGTATGATCCTCACACACAAGCAGCCAGCAAGAAAGTCAGCTGGGGCCGATGCCTGGAGGAACCGCAATGTACCCAGGCCCTGCGTCCGGTGCCCGGGGCGGCACAGAGCCCTTAAAGGTGCTGCACTGGATGCCCCACTTCTCACCCAGGTCATATTATTAGCCAGGGACTGGTCACCTGACACTCCGAGTACCGGATTTCTCATGTCCAATTCACCAAGGTACATGGGAGCCACCGTTTTGGATTTCCTGAAAACCAAATCCTTTGACATCCATCAAGATGCTTATCAGCAACCCGGTCAACTTTAGTAAAAGGGGGATGTGCAGGTATGGAGATGCTATCAGGGCTTCTCCATAACCCAGGACGACCCTCCCGGTTACTGGGACACCAGGGCCAGTGGGACAGAATCGCAGCTTTCAGTCGCTCTGCTTGTGAGAGCGAGCCGGGAGGCACCCAGCACGTACCACCGACGCCCACCTGCCAGAGCGGCTTACACCGGCGTCTAGGTTAGGGTCCCTCGAGCTCCGCCGGGCTCCTCGGCCACACGGTCGCACTCTGCACACATCTGCTCGAGCATCTGTGAGCGTTGAACAGAAGAGGCACGTTCAGACACCCGTGACCTGTGAAGGACGGCGTGTGAATGGGCGTGAGTTCCAGGTGCCCCACGGAGCATTTCACTTAATATGGAAGCTCTTCAAAATACAGAGAAACAAAGCCCCCCCTCCGAGAAAGTCCTCCTTTTCTTAGAAAAAGCACAGCCCGGTTTACTCTCTCTACCCCTCCCCCCCATGCCCCCTCCCATCTCTCCTATAATTTGTTTTGAAGTTAAATTAAAGGTGAGTGTTTACACTGTGCTGCAGGGATGAGTATTTCCTAGGGCTGTTTTTGCCGTCCCCCCCCCACCCCCCAGTCATCCAGAGGATGTGTTCCTTCCATGTCGCTGCACGAACATGTTGATGCTGACAATCAGGACTCACAACCCGGATTCTGTCTTTCGGGTCCGATGATGAATTGTTACTCCACCTATTGGAGTTTGCAGCCCATCGATCAAAACAAACATGTGACACTGGACGACTTTGTAAGCCTTCATACCATAATGCGAAACTGTCCTGGCAAGATCGTTGTTATTATCATTAACAATTATAAACTGGAAAGAGCAAATTTATTCATATATGTATCAGCAATTTAATCAACCACAAACTTTCAAGATAACTGGCATATGTTGATTTTTTTAACTTGTTGATTAGGAAACACAATCCAATCATAGACGATGTGTTTATCAAATGAGCGGATTCAGACTAAACTTAGTAGCTCTTATAAAGAAAGGCTGCATTTTTTTCCTCAGTTAATTCTTGGCAGAGATTTAGGAAGAATGACTAAATAGCAATGGACTTGCGGATTATGCAATTTCATATTTACCAAAAGGTACAGCCCCACGTTGTCTTTTGACGTACAAATATCCCTGGTGTTGTGCAATCGGTAACTAAGGTTGACTTTTATTAATTGCAATGTTTTCAGCTTATCTGCTTACTACATATCAAATGTTGGAGTGGGATGGTGAATTGTGCTGGGCAGTAAGGGCACTGCAGGCCCGACACATAATGTATATAATCAGATATGTTTCTGTTGAACATACATTTGTATTCGCTGCATTTTGCTGTCTTCCGCAATTAAGTAATTTATATCTAGATCTATATCGATAAAGGACCGTGCTCTAAGAGCAAAAATATTCAACTCAAAATCTGATAGCTTTTATTGCCATATTACTGAGTTTTAATGACAAATTCCTGACTTTGAAGCCATGACCTTGAAGAAGTTACTGGTAAATTACAGAAATGCCCTCAGCTGAAACTTCCTGTTCTGGGTCATGTGATTACAAGGGCACTGCAGAAGAATGACCTTTACACTGGTTTTTGCATTACAGACTGTGGGCCACTCTACTTTAGAGTCATGGCAAAAATGGACACTGACACCAAATGAAGGGGAGGGCCAATGTTTTGCCACTATCAACTGCAAAACAAACATTTCTAACTACTGTCAAGATGCCCTTGGTTACTCACCAACACATTCTTCACTCTGAAGATCCACGTGCTGGTAGACACATGGTGCTTTTGAACAGTTCTAAATCAGTATGAAAAAAATGAACAAACATTTTTAATGGGGGTTGAATGTTTCATGACCTGTATTATTAGGGTTATGATACAAAATATGGTCAAGCAAAGTGTGCAGGGTTAGGGATCTACTAGTGAGAATGTACTGAATGTAACTATGAGATCCACAGTAGGGACTCCTCAATTACTTTAGCTTGTTATTTAACATGAATTCAGTGCATGTCCACATAAAGAGTGTCTTGCACAATTTGGCACTGGTCTGTTGGTGCTGCCTTTCTCCATATTAATGACACCTGTGATCGATTTCTGTCCCCAACGGACAGTCAACCTTGTCCTCAACACACAAATCCTTCACCCTAGAAGAGCAGATTTGTTTACAGAACTGATGATTTGTTGGTGTCTTGACATAATAATACAAACGAAATAAAATCTTAAAAACTATAATATAAACCATCTGAAAATAATTCATACCTCAAGAAACACTGCACTGGGATTTTGATTAAATGTCATTATTAAATCCATTAGTCTTTTACTGCCTTTAACCTGCTAAAAGAATAACAAACAAGTGTTACCATCCATCCAACAAATGCAGGAGAACCACAGTTATTTGAACATGCGACCATCCATCAAATAATGCAAGTGGTTTGATATATACGGACGGGACACTAAAGGACACGGGTAGGTGTATTAACAGGCGCGTACTGAGGGAGAGCTTGCGTAAGAGTTAAAACGGCGGCGAGGTGGAGATGCCACTCAATACTAACGCATAGACATGCAGATGTTCAAAATCAACAGGAGGATGAAAACGTGACCTGAAAAAAATCACATTCGTGCCATAGCGCCATCTGCCATCCGAAAATTGAGTAGTGGCCTGCACATTAACTATAAAATACAAATTATAAATTGTTTATATACATAGGCGCACACACACAACGAGACATGCTATTTCACATAATTTCCTACATGCTGGTGTGTATTCAGTATTGGTTTCATATAACGTGCGTTGCTTTGTAGCGCGCTTACTTGGGCCAGCGCGTGTAAACGTAAGCACTACGTTCATAAAATCATGGCAAAAGCAACAGCCTTTAAAGTCCGTCCGCGGATCCCCAGCAAACGGCCAGAATTACATTCTAAAGGCGCCCACAGCGGCGGCCAGCACACGCTAACCGGACGCGTACCTCGGATGACGCAGCAGCGGTGGGCGGGGCTCCGGCCTCCCCGTACCGGAGACAAATAGGTTACGTAAGAAATATACGTCTTTTGATTGGTCAAGTTCGACCCTCCTCCCCGGTAGGTAACTTATTATATGACTTCGCGGGCGGAGCCGAGAGTCGGCAGCGATATATGTGTGGGGGTACATTAATGCAAGCTGGGCAGAGCGCTGTCTTTTTCGAAAACGAGAACAGGAGGGGAGGTTCCCATCAGTAGTATACCTGAGGGCAGTAACACAAAGGAAAAAACAGATCGTTCACTTTTTAGGAAATAAAAAGGGAACCGAAGTAACTCGCGATGCCCGCTTCAAATAAAGACGGTGATGATGGTTGGAAGAAGTTTCTTTGGAATTCGGAAAAGAAGGAATTGCTAGGACGGACTGCGGGGAGTTGGTGTAAGTAATCTATAGTCTTCATTTTAAAATAATCTAGTTAGAATATAGACATTAGTCTACCTGTCAAACTGGAATAGGCAGTGGGAGATGAGTTTTAGGGTTATGGATTTTATGTATTTTTCCATCTCCGTTTAAGCTCATTGTTTTAACTTGTCGCCTGCCTGTAGGGCTGTCTTTAGCTACATTTCCTGTGTTCGTTTCGCGACGAGGAAATACGGCACCTGTTTGATCCGACCGAGCGGCGGCTTCTTTTGACTTCGTGCTTTTCCGTACGCGACCGGTCCCTCTGCGCTTGAGTGGATGTGGCTCTTTTTACTTCGTGATCCCATGCATGGTCGCTCAGAAGTTCACGCAGCTTTAGTTATTTCATTTCTTTAAGTCCGTGCTGTTCCTCGTGCCTTCATGGACTGAAGTTTTCAAAATGAAAGAAACCTAATATATCTGAAGTGTACGGCTGTGTGCAGTTTCTACACTCCCAGCTCGTGATTTGTGTGTGTATGTGTGTGTGTAGGAGCGATGGGAGCGAGGTCATTTTGAAGGACGTCTGGTTTGAATAATTGGCTGCCGATGTATTATTTCGAAGAGGCGCACACACAATTTCCCCCATTTTTTTCGTAATGATCTGACTTCCACGCCGGTGCCAGACCGTTAAAATGAGCTTGAGATCTATAATTATTATAGATTAGTGGAGAATCTGGAGGGGGGGGGGTCACTGGTCAAACCATTAAAATGTTATTTAAAACGTACAGTTAAACCAATGAAACCGTGATTCCGTACAGAATACAGACTTAAAATGTATCACAGTCCAAGGTTAGTCAAGGTGATCTGGGATGTTCTGCATTCATGGGAAGACATTTCGCGTGTGTTATTGTAGTGTAGGCTCTGATGTAGCTAGTCAATGATGGAAATGCATTAACATCCGTTTCCCGTTGCTGCAGCATGTTGCGTGGTTTCACTGCCACTTCGCCGCTGTCTTTTTCGCTGTGCGTCGCTATAAAACATATTTTGTAGCATGTTGCGGTCAGTTTCCACTTATTTTTAATTGACGTGATTTATGTATGGCCTAAATGTCTAGAAAAGTTTTTTTTTTTTTGCTTCGGAAAAATGTACGTTGCATGTATATTTAGATCCTAATGAATGAAATGTTGTCGATGCACGATTTCTGGGGCGAACTTTGTAACCTCACCAGTATTAATCGGGAATTTTGTCAAACAAATGGTGATTAGCATACCCAGAAAATCGGACGCCTGTAAGATGAATTACGCCTTTTAGCTGTGATCTTAGATGGGAAAAAAACGCTTTCTTCAACCACTTATAACATTCTAAAATGCCGGTTACTAAAATCGTGGTTAAGCACGTTTTGTCTGCTCGGTGAAAGTGAAAGCACGTAGGTTTCAGTCCATGAGGACGAGCAGATCTCACTGGCTGCTGAGCACGACGCAGACGGGCCGTGCCAAGGTCCCCCCCCCCCGTGCTTCATCCCTGATTCACAGGCCTGCTGATCATTATTAGTTACACCCCGCATGCATTTGTAACTTATTTGGAACTGGCCAATGACTGTAGCCCTCAGAATATGTCCTTTCTAAACGTCAGTTGCACTTTAACTGCTCAATGATCCTTCAAGGTTAGAGACTTTGCACCTCTTGCCATTTTATGAGTGGGTGGGATTTCAAGTGCAACTGAAGACTTGTTCAGGGAGTTCATCTTATGAAGCAGCTATACATGTGAATCTTATCTATTCCACCTTGTAAGAGGAATCTAAATCCAAAAAAAGCCTTTTAGGGGTTGTCTTAATGAACTTTGAATTACCTTCTGGGGATTATGTGTGTGTCTAGTTCAGTATGTGGTGGGAACATTTGGACAGTGTGATAAGTTTGGTATTTCATTGTGTTTGGCCAAGTCTAAACCAATGTGAGACATTGTGTACCAGTAACAGTGTCGGCCTTAAGGATAGTGGTACGATATTTTACCATCCTATGGATAGAGCTGTGATGTTTCCTGTTATGCGGGGGACACCCCCACACCTTGCTTGTGTCCTCTGTGTGCCAAGGACAGTCAGCGAGACGTTTGTCCATTCAAGGTTGGTGTGTAGAACAATGAGATTGTGACTGCTTCCTGTGAGCTTGGGGGTGGGGACTCGAGAGACAGGGCCCGCTTTGTGCCAAGTCACAGGACGGCCCTGCGGGGAGCCAGGACTCAAAGGTGCCGTTAAGATTTCCGTATTTGGGACACCGTTGATACCAGGAGAGGCCCTTAGCTGGCAGAATGTTCAAATGAGTCACACTTTACATGTGTCACTAGGTTTAATGCAGTGAATTTATATTTGCACAACTGACACTAGTCTCTAATTTATGCTCTGCGTAGGGTTGCTTTTGAAACATGAGTGACTTTGTAATTGTATGAAATTTGATTTTTAATCCCCTCCCATTACTCGACTGCTTGGTAATGCTGCGGAGTGACAGATGTACCTGAATGCTAACTCTGTATAAACAACGGATTTCAGGCCCATGCGTTACTCTCACAATGCACAAATCATTTGCCTTTTATTTTGTAGACACTTGTATCCAAAGCAACGCAGATGCTCGCCGGGTTACTTGTCCTTTTTCCTTGTTCTGGGAACATGCATGTTCTGTGGAGGGGGGGGGGGGTTCACACAGGCTTGCTGCTTTGATTACCTCCATTCGCATGTAGATCCACGGTCATTTAAACTGTCAGTAGGTAGCTGTGAGTTAAGTGACAGTTTCTTCATTTTACTTCCGCAGCCAAGATCCTCCTGTTCTATGTGATCTTCTACGGCTGCTTGGCTGGAATATTTATTGGGACCATCCAAGCCCTGCTACTCACCATCAGCGAGTACAAACCCACATACCAGGACAGAGTCGCACCACCGGGTAAGTGAGTCTCTTGCTCTGGAGCTCGCTGGGCTGGGCAGGCTGAAGCTGCGTGTGGGAATATCATTCCCGCACCTTCCTGTTATTTTTTTCACTCCTCTGTATATACAGGACCTATTCGGGCAGGAAAATATCATTTTACATGGATCACAGTGTGTTTACTGATATCTGTCTGCAGTTTAGGAAAGTCTACGCGAGGGTGTGAGTGTTTTAATTCGGGTGTAGAAACATGTTCTAATAAAGGCCTCTCTTAATGCCATTCTTAAATATAGGAACTCTGTAGATTCGACTGATATTCCCAGTTTCTCAATCACTAATTTTTGCCAGTTTATAATTTTACCATTCAGTATGTGATGTTTGTAAAGCACTCACTGAAAAATAGCATCTGAAAAATGCTAAAGCTAGCGTTCTACTTCAGAAAGTAAGGTCGTTTTTGGATATGTAATGACTTTATGCTGTTGTGTGGAGGATCTGCAGAGTAACTTTGTTTACAATCTTTCATATCTTTCTGCTCTTCACGTCTGGGTAACTGTGCTGCGTCGCACTGCACTGAAGGCTCTGTACACTGCCCGGTGCATGTGATCTGGGCCGTTCTGCTTAGCTGGGTGCCACGCCATTTTATCATGTTTGACATTATATGAATTAACAAATTTATTATTCCTGTATTGGACCAACTGCCTATACAGCATTATCATTTTTCAACATGCAGTATGTGTAAGGTTCAATTATGTCAACCATATCTCTGCATATGACTGTTTGAATATAGATATAATCCTTATGCCAAACAAGGCTGAAGCATGTGATTTAATTTCTTGGTAAATATCCTTCTGGGAGTATGGAGGCTCCCCATGTGAGTGTCTGACTGAATGAAATGGGTGGCATCCATCTTAGCCCTGCTCGATGAGGGCCATCAACCTTTTAATGGCTGGCTTGTGTTCTTTGTGACCCAGCTGTCCCTCACAGGGCAATCTGTAGGTATGTACTACTCCACAAAGCTGCTTATTTGTACATCTGATTAAAAGGATCTTTTGGCCTATGAAGACCTCAGTATGTGTTAATGTATTGCATGTAATGTTTTAATCGGCAAATGCAGAGCTTGTCTAAGCTTGCTCAGTTACGGATTCTCCTCTCTCTGGCGAAGCCCATTTACCACAATTGCTAAATTTCTCTGAACTCTTGTGTTATGCCATGTAAAAAAAAATCTCCACATCACCCCGGTATCCCTCCACATCACCCCGGTAGCCCTCCACATCACCCCGGTAGCCCTCCACATCACCCCGGTAGCCCTCCACATCCCAATGCACTGGCTTAAAGGCTTCCTGTTCCCCTTTTGTCTGTTTCAAGGGCCTAAAAATCAGGCATGTTGATTTTAAACGACCGAGGCTGGGAAGCTCTCTGGACAGTCAGGCCTCCCAAGGAAACTGCAGCGGCAGGGGTGGGGTCCCTTGCCTGGACGGGCATCCCCCCCTTTGTCAGTTTCTTGAAAGAAGGAACTGGACAAGAAGCTGCATCCCCCCCCCCCGGTCTGTTAAAAGTTTCCATTGTGAGGCAGACGCACGTGAGCTAGGGAGAGTGTCGCAAGTTTGACCTGAAAGTGTGTGTGTGTGTGTGTGTGTGTGTGTGTGTGTATTAGGATTATATTACATTGTGGGGACCAATTGTCCCCCCACAATGCAGTAATACCTGTTTTTTGTTGTGGGGACCATTTTTCAGGCCCACAAAGATTTGTGAAAGCAGTCAAAGTAAAAATGCCAAAAGTCTCATATTGTTTCGTTACTTGTGGTTAAGGTTAGAGCTGGGTAGCGGTTAAGGTCATCATGTTGGGATTAGAGTTTTCCCCATAGAAATGAATGGAGAGTCCCCACAAAAATATAATTACAAACCTGTGTGTGTGTGTGTGTGTGTGTGTGTGTGTGTGTGTGTATATAAAAATATATAAAATAAATATAGCATTGGGGGACCAAATGTGCCCACAGTGTGATTAAAAACCTGTTATTTTGACATTGTGTGGACCAAAAAATGGGGAAACAGTTATATAAAAATAGGGTTTTTCCCCATAGAAATGAATGGATGGTCCCCACAAAGATATGAGTACAGGTGTTTGTGTTTGGGGGGGGGGGTCCCCATTAAGAGTGATTCATACAATCTGTGTCATTTAGAGAATTTTTTGAAGCCTGACTAAGTTTGGAACCGAGAGGCGTCTGACGTTTCCCCATCTTGATCGTCCTCCCCTTTTCTGTGACACGATTGGCCCTTTGCCTGCATAGTATCGTCTCTGGGGGGAAATTACTGCCGTGAAGCACGTGGCCCCTTGAAAACGCCACTGCCATGACGTGTGCTGGCGTATCTGCATGTGGGACCGTGGCAGAAGCGTTGGCGTTGTCGGCATGGGAACGGCGCGAACAAGAATGCAGCTGATGCAAATTAACCGCCTTTCCATTGCTGCTGATGCGCTTGTACTGCTGATGTCTGGTTAAACTGCTTGGAGATTCTGTAAAAGGAGATGTGACACTAAACCAACCTTAATATTTCACTCTCTTCATGCATCCTTCCATTTCTCTCCCCCTTTTCTCCAGGTTTAACACACACCCCTAAGTCTGACAAATCCGAGCTGTCCTTCAAAATGTCGGACCCGATGACATACTTAAAATATACAAAAGGCTTGACAGAATTTCTAAAGATGTATGATGATGAAGTGCAAGAAGGTAAATTTGAAGACTGTGGAGGTAAGGATCTTCATTCTGTTTTTGGATGCCTCCTTCCCTTCTACACCATTATAAAGCGCATGAATGGATGGTGCACTGAGCATTTAAGGCAATAGGAGCTGAGTCAGATTTCAGGTTTATAAAGTGTGTGGCCAGTGTCCAAAGTCTAGGTATAAGGTGGTTACATAAGAGGAAAGCCTGTCCTCATTTAATCTGCTAAAAGGCTACTTTACATTGAGGAAAAATGAATCCTGGGTGGTCATCCTTAAGCACAATATAGCTTAAGACTTGGGTGAAAGCCTTGATCAGCCATCGAGAGATTAGCTAAACTTTTTTCCAGACTTATTTGGCTAAAACATGGTGGATGAATAGAAGCTGCAAGAATATTGTCTGAATATTATCTGGAACCTGTCTGCTCTCTCTAGATACCCCAGGAGAGTACAAGAACAGGGGCGATATAGACGACAACGAAGGTGTCAGGGACTCGTGTCGTTTCAAGAGGACCTGGTTGGGCCCCTGCTCTGGTCTGACTGATACAGAGTTCGGGTTCAAGGAAGGGAAACCCTGCCTGATCGTCAAACTCAACAGGATAGTCAACTTCAGACCAAAGGTGAGGCCCTTCCGTCTGAGGCCTGTGATTTCTCTGAAGTTTTATCTTTCTCTGTGATAAATCTACAGCAATTGTGGCAAATTTCTCTGTATGAGATGAGGGGGGTGGTTCATCTCTGCCGCTGCAAAGCTTGCTGCCATCGTCGGGCCTTCTCCCACCACATTCACACCTTTTATTATTTGTCTAACTGTTCCCCCCCCCCCCCCCCAATAGCCTCCGATGTCCAACAGCTCCATCCCCGAGGAAGCCCAGTATAAAGTGCAGCCCAATGTGATTCCCCTCTACTGTACAAACAAGGTATGACTGCGTTCCCCAGTGCGCCACAGCCCATAATCCTCTGGCTGTCATGGTATCCGTCCGTTGAATTGCACCCTCTCGGTTGGTGTCACACATACTGGCGAGCGGAGCTTCACTCCGAACCTCGAATCTATGATACTGTATTAAATTTTGTGGATGAGTAGGAAGGCTCCCTTGGGGGGGGTGTAGAGTGTTTGGCTTGGTGTCCAGTTTGAGTTGGTTGGTCGTGAAGCTTGCGCTCGGTGGCCAATAAGACTCACTGTCACGATTCTCTCTGTAGAGGGAAGAGGACGCCGGGAAGGTCGGCGAGGTCCGGTACCATGGCATTGGCGCTGGCTTCCCCTTGCAGTACTACCCCTACTACGGCAAGGCACTGCAGCCAAATTACCTCCAGCCTCTGGTGGCCATCCAGTTTGTCAACCTCACGATTGGCACGGAGCTGCGCATCGACTGCCGGGTCTACGGCGAGAACATTAACTACAGTGATAAGGACCGTTACCAGGGACGCTTCGACATCAAGATCACGGTCGAGTCATGACCTCGGCTCTCAAAAATAGCACATTCTGCCCCATTTCAAAACCAACAAAATGTAGAAAAGAGGAAAAAAAAAGAATAGTCTTGAACAAACTGTCATAAATACGGGACCTACACTTAATCTGTACGCTTTACACTAGCTTTTCAGCATCTTTTAGGCTTAGATTGTAAATTACAGGAAGTAGCAATAGCAGAGTATTTATTCTACTGTAAATGATAATTCCTTGAGCCATGGGACATGTTCATTACTGTAAATTATAATTCCACTACTGATATGTAGCGAGCAGTGTTTTGTCCCTTAAGTATTGCTGCCTTGTGTGGTTTCTATATATTTTTGGAGTGTACAGTAAAAGTAGTCGCAAACAACTGTTCCTTTCCAAGCCATGTTGTAATTTTACGTTCTCTTATGTGAGCAAGCTTTAGCGGTCCAAGGTGTGTGTGTGTGTGTGTGTGTGTGTGTGTGTGCGCGTGTGTGTGTGCGTGTGCGTCTACTTGCTATCTGAAGGTACTGACATGGTATGTTCTGCTCCTGGGGCTGTGTGGGAGGAGATGACTGCACTCCACGGAAACCTACTTTTTTTTTTTCCCTTTGTCTTCTAGTCAATGATTGGGGGGGGGGCTAAATTTTGCATCACATTGGTTTAGTTTTCTTCCTCCTTTTCGAATCACTGTTAAATGTAGGACAAGGGGGATTATTATGCTTCTTGGGGCAGGGGAAGGTGCTTGCAGGTTTTCCATTCGCGTTAGATTTTGTGTAGAGCTGTTGCCTTAATGGCAATGGTGCCAACTCAGTGCTTTTAAAGAGGAAAACGTTTTGCTGGAGACATCACATGACGTGGTGTGACTTTCTGATGAATGTTTTAGCCATTTTCATTTTATATTTATGCAGTTGTGCATTTTTTTTCTTTTTTTCTGCAGGAAAAAAATAAAATACCAAAGCCAACGGTCAAAGTTTCAAACCCTAAGCAGTGCCCGTGTAATTGGTTGTTTCGGTGTTAATGTGCAAGTCTGTACATCCGTAAAACTTTCAGGAGTCAATCCGCTCTTGTTGTTCATTTAATCTGGGTAAGGAAAAATAAAATGGAGAAAATATTCTGCTGTCACGTTGCTTTTTGTTTCGTGTGACAATGTCCCATATTGCAGACTCTATAAAGTAATATGGTAACGCTTTATTTGCGGGGGCACTAGTAACTTAATTACTCTGTTACTACTCAAGTACAAACCATGAACATAGTAACTGCATGAACTGTTATGATTAATTAATGATGAAAGAACATGGAATCCGTATGTGACTAACACTTCTTGGATTTATTTAACCAGTAACCAAGTGCTACTATATTATTTGTGACCCCTCGAGTAAAGTGTGACCCAAGCTACTTTTCCGTCTCCAAAGAGTTTTCAGACCATGGGGAAAAGGCGGGACTTCTTTTGCATTTTGCTGTCATTTAAAAAAAATCTCACTTGGGGCAGTAATGCGTGTTTCTTGGTGATTGTTCACCATTGTTTTGGTGTTTGTTTATTTATTTTTAAGTCTGGCTGCCACAGCCCGGTTCCCCATGTGCTGTGGAGAGCACTCACAGCTGGGAAATGATTAATCCGTAGCAGCTCGCTGACTGGCTGCAAAGATCAGGTCCTTATAACAACGACAGTTGGGAGGTCAAACCCACTGGAGTTGAACAATAGGCTCAAGCCCTGCTCTGTCTGTTCCTGTGCAGATTTGAGTCATGGGGTGTGTGTCAGGACAGTGCTGCGCCATTCATTCAGCTTTACTTTTTTGTCCATACCTTACTTTATAGTAATTAACATTAAGCACTTAATTTAACTTTTTTTTTTTTTTACAACTCTAACAATCAGTGATGTCATTTCCTTTATGCTTACTGGCTAGACTGGTTTGTTTGTCTTCGGAAACACCCAGAAGCTTCTCTCTCCATCATGCCAACTCTAAGACTGAGCAAGCGCTACAGCCGCTAGCATGATGTTTAAAGACGATATGTGATCTGAAGCCTTTTATTCCCTCCCTGACATTTTCGGTACTTCAGCTGAAATGTTCCACTGTTTCTCGCTGTAACGATTTGGGTTTGTAACTTAAAAGTTTATTGGTTAAAATTCCACTGCGTCTATAAGCAAGGTCTTGCATATTTCAGATGAAATGCTCCGGTAAAATGTCCAGATACATAAATGAATAAAAATATGTGCATTGCTAAGCAGCATAAATACACATTAACTGTAGGCCTCACCTCCATTAAACGTCAGGTTCTGGTTAAGCAGCCGGCTGCGTGACATGTGACTTGCAGAGAGTCCCGAAGACGGGAATGAGACGATGTCCCCTCTCAGAAAAGCAATCACTGCCTCGCCTGCATGACCTCCAGACGCAGATAGTGCGACTGGCACACGAAGGTCTGCTTAGAATTCAGCGGTGTGGATCCATTTGTTAAACCTGAATATTCTGCCTCTGCTGTGTTTCAATCTTTCATTCTTCCTCGGCTGTTATAACCCCCCCCCCCCCCCCCCAATTTCACTGTAACTTCAAGAAAGTGGAAATTAAATGTTTAAGCCAATGAATAAATTACTGTTTCCTCTCAATGCTGAAGTCCTCCAAGATTTTGACTTACTGTTTTTTTTGTGATTTTTGACAGCCAGAATTTTCCATGGTTCATGTTTTTTCCACACCACTAACCCTTTGCTGGTCTCATTACTAAAATAATTGTGTTGCCATTGTGCTTCCTGATTTTCCACTTTTATTTATTTTCCTATGAAAATAGGCTGCTTGCTGGTCAGGATGCCCCCCCCAACTGAATTATTGATTAAATAATTTCCATTTACTCCTGAAAGTGTCAACAATCAATAGTATTTGCTCCGTTTATTTACATAACACTATTTTTATCTTTTGCGCATCCGGAGAACCCGGACATTTGGATTAGTTGACCCCATTCTTCCATTCACTGCTTAGCATTAGATTCAAGCTTAAGTCCTTAATACTGTCGACATTCAGGAAAATCAGCATAACTGCTGAGATTCGACCAGAAAAACTATAATGTAAAAAGACTGACTCTACGTGGGGAGTGTAATTCTTATACCTGTGACTGCAGTGAAATAAAGTCAAAACAAAAAATAAACCTTGGGGGTTGTTATCTAGCTACCTGTCATCACATGGACTGTGTAAATCACCTGTGCTAAAAAATATACAAACAGTCATTGAGAGGATCACTCAGTGAGCAAGGAGGGCTTTCAGTGCTGGGACCGCACACGCTGACAAATGGACAAGTAGGCTGCAGTAATGTTTATAAGGCTCTCTGGATAATAGCATTCAGCTATTAATTAAGATGGTGGGATAGTATTTTGTCTCAAACTCCTGCTTATGTTTGAGGATTTGGAAAACACCACAGGTAATGCATATTTCTACTGTAATGTAACTTATATCAAGGCTGTAATTACAAAGAAAGCACTGCTGAAATTTGCTACCAACGTTTTCCACTCTTCATGCCGTGGGAATATGAGAGCAGAGACGGAACTACGCCTACATCTCAGCTGTCGTTTCTCCACCATCACCTTTGTCTGAGTGGTCGGTAAGTGAACAAAGAGCTACGTGTGTGTGAGACGTGTGGAAGAGCAGCTGCATGGAGTTTGTGTTTACATGGACTGGAGCAGGCAAGGCAAAAAATGAGCCATTCAATTGCATCATATATAAAATACAAAAAACATGCATGTCGGATTCACCTTAGTATACAATGGGCTCTGTGGTGGGTTGGCGCCCCATCCTGGGTTGTTCCCTGCCTTGCCCTGCATAGGACAAGCAGTTACAGACAATGGATGGATGAATGGATATATGGGCTAAAGTAGAGGTGTATGTGCTTGGAAAATAAATTATTTTTTAAATAATTTAAAAGCAAGTGTGCCATTAGGGATGTTGTGCCCCTAATACAGACCAATTCAATTATGTTCCACATTTTTAGGGTCTCCATCACTCACGGGCTCCTGAAATCCCCCTATCACCCCCCTTTTCGGGTGCCCCTGATTAAAAAGGGTGTGGAACCTGAGCAGGAAATCAGGGTGTTTCACGTACAGTCTTTTAGAAACTAACCAAGCTCTGTCCTCCTAAAGTGGACCAAAAAGTGGAACAACAGAAAAGGTGCTCAGTTCTTTTTGCATTCACACTGTGAGTTAATTGAAGGAGGACTCCGTTCCCTTTGAGTTTACATTGTGAGTTCATTTGAAAGAGGACTCAGTTCTCCTTTTGGTCCATTTCAGCTATGATGGGGCTCCAGTCCTCTTTCTGTTCACACTGTAGTTCCTATGACGTTCTCAGATCTTCTCTGCTGTGGATTATGGGTGGCGTCCCAGTGCAATCGCATGTGATCTGTCCGTGGCAGGGGTGGGGAACCTGATTGCCATGGCGTTTGTGTGGCGTTTTCCTGGGGACTGGACTGGAGTTGTGGACCACTGCTTCATTATTGGCCGATTGAGAAGTCATCCCGAAAAACCCACACCCACACCGGTCTTCCATGGATCAGGTTCCCCACCTTTGGTCTACGGCAAGCCTAGTGGGCTAAAATTAAATGGCGATTGGCTAACCGCAACACGGATTTGAAGCAAGCCAAGCTGAGACCACCGCCCGGTTCGGTTCATTTCAGACGGGAATGCTGACTAATTGCTCTGCGCTCTTTTTGAGGACTGAAAGGGACCAAGTGTGAAAACACCTTCAGCGATTTGGTCAGGAGCAAAATTTCTTCGGCAATACGGCCAGAGCTGGTTGGCTGTAATTACACCAGCAAGCCACAGGTGATCTGCAGACAGCAGGCAAAATTTCATTCTAATGAGCCCACATGGGACACCAAAGTACCTGCTTGCAGGAGAACCACCAGTCTGCATTGGGAGTAATGGGCAGCACCATATACCGTACTCACACTGCACTGGGGCTTCCCAGAACTGAAGGTTCTGATGCCTACTGGCATATGCGATTAGAGGGACTTTTAGAGGGAAATTGAAATCTATTTACGTACAAGCATCTTTATGACTAGCCCATGGACATTATTCATCTCCAGTGTGTTAACCATGTTCAATAAGAAACTATTCATTTACTTAGTACTACAATGAAGATTTGTACTTACAAAGTCTGATACCATGGTGACATTGCACTCTCTGCAGCTACTGCAACAAAGAGATCTTCACAACACCAGTAATGCTCTCAGATGGAGGCTAGGCTAGGCTAGGCGTCTTGCCTCAAAATGCTCTCCCTGAGAGGATGGTGCTAACTGACATAAGTCTTACATTCTGTTCACATTCCCGTTGAAATTTCTTCAGCAGCAGCTTGAAAGGGATGCGAAGTTCCCTGCCACCTGGACTTTAATCGGCTGTTGGAGGCCTGCAGTGGCAGGCCACGGGCCGGCTTTGTCTGGCACTCACTGGGGTGCCAGAGTGCGGTATAGGTCAATGCCAGTGTGCGGTAGGTCAATGCCAGTATGCGACAGGCCACGAGCTGACTTTGTCTGGCACTCGCCGGGGTGCCAGAGTGCGGCAGGCCAGTGCCAGTGTGCGGCAGGCCGGTGCCAGTGTGCGGCAGGCCGGTGCCAGTGTGCGGCAGGCCGGTGCCAGTTTTCGGCAGGCCCTGCTGCATCTGCTGATGCAGGTGGCAGGTAACTGCTGATTAGCGCTCCTCTGTAGACATCCCCAGGGCCTGCTGTCATGATTACACAAGTCCACACATGCAGCCACAATTTATATAGAATTATCCAGCTTGAAAACATCAGCACACGTGCACAGGCTGCAGTTTCCAATTGGTGCAAAGTAAAATCTCCACCATTCAAGTCAGTTCCATGAATGGTTAAAATACAGAGAACCAAAACACATATAATCTACTTGCAATATATTTACACAACAGGATTTCATTTTCACTTCCAAATTTGAATGTTTTCTGTTTACAGTTTTAAAAAAATCATTGACCTGTTCCTAATTCAGCATGACTAAATAAATAAAATAAAATAAATACAGCATATATAATGAAAGTCTGGCTGATCAGTTATATATGATGTCTGCTTTGAAACAGGAGCAGATTTAATGTGACTCAGAAACAGGCTTTTGATTTGTAATGCAAA